AAGGACCTGCCATTGGTGGTCACAGCAGAGCTCAAAGCACGGGGAAGGACCCAGTGCAACACCTGTAAGGAGAAAGGGCCAAGGAGGAGCCCAGAAGGTGACAGGATGCTATGAAGAGGGGCTCTCAGAAGCCAGAGGAAAGACTGGCCACGTGCTGAAGAGAGATGTGTTCAGGGTCACCCTGCAGGCTCTGTGCCTGGCTGGCTCTTGACAGACTTCCCTGGGGCTGGGCAGAGCTGGAGTGCTGGAATCTGTTGGATTGAAGCTGCTCCCTCTCCCTGATGCGTTCTTCCCCTGCTGAGTGAAGTGTTAGCCTCACCTCCCCTGGGTCCTTCCCTTGTGTTCATGGCCCTCAGCCTCCCTTTCCAGGCCTGAAGGTGGATGGCAGCCAGGGAGGAAGTGTGCAGGCAGGTCAGCAGGGGTCCCACCTTTAGTCTCGTGGACATCTGGTACCCTCGAGGCTTCTCTGTCTCTCCGCCTGGCCAGATGATCTTCCTGTCATTGGGGATGACCTGGGGGTGGGAGTATGAGATAGAGGGTGGCCACGCAGGGGTCTTGGCCCCAGGACCCTAAGGCCCCAGCCCCCACCCCCTCATGACCCCCACCTACATGGGTGCCATTGTAAATGCCCACTTGCACCAGCTTGCGGTTCTGCAGGTTCATGATGCTGTAGTTGGCAAACTTCCGGTCTCCGTCCTCATTAAACTCCACGCGGCCAGTCACTCCATCCGCATACTTGGAAGACATCAGCACCCTGGGACAGCATGTGGTGCCAACCCATTAAGGATATTCCCTACCTGGCCTCCTGAGAAGCCAGAATCCTTCCTTCCACCCTAGTCCCAAGAAAGGCAAGATGAACAGATGGTAGCCCCTCACATGAGAGGCATCAAGCAAGTCTGCCCACACCAGATGGGTAGCACAGTGAGTGACAGCTGAGTGGCTTCTGGGAGCCAGGCTGTGGCAAGGGCTTTCTGAGGGGTATACTCCTTGATCCTCAAAGCAACCATCCCAGTTTCACAGAGAAGGCTGAATTCCAGAGGACACCAGGGCTGTTTGCCAGCAAATACGGAAGGCAGGCAGAGCCTGCATCAAGCTCTGAGCATTGGTCAGATCTGCTGGCT